TCGCCAGGGCCGGTGGGCGAGGTGCTGCGGGGCAGCCCCCCGCTTTCTGCGTCGGTGGGCGGCAACCAGGCGAGCGGTGAGGGTCTGGGTAGCCCAGGGAGGCGCAGCGCAGCGCGGGGTACCGGGTCTCCCCCGTAACGGGTTTCCCTTGTGCCTCAGGAGTGGAGTGGGGGCTGATTTTTCCCGATGCGAACGGGGAGTACCAGTCGCCCATTAACCTGAACTCGAGAGAGGCGAAGTACGACCCCTCGCTGCTGGAAGTGCGTTTGTCGCCGAACTACGTAGTGTGTCGCGACTGCGAAGTGATCAACGACGGACATTCCATTCAGATCGCCCTCAAGTCCAAATCAGGTACGCTGAAACACGGCCTTTGCTTTCCCCGTCAAAGCTTGCCTTGCATTAACACTCGCTGTACGTCTGCGGCTGTCCTGGGGCGCAGAAGCAGCAGCCACGGTGCCCATTCGGCATGGACTGGTAAGAGGGTTGCTGTTGGCTTCAGTAGGAAAAAGAGCAAGCTTTGCCATGAACTTTGCAAGTTTCAATGCAAATCTGGACGGTCAGTCAGGTTGCTAAAGGACATGTCCAGAATTTCCTCTTCCTCATCTAATTCACTGGCATTAACAGTTGCGTGCATTCAGAAGGAGTCCAGACTGTTGCTGAGACAGTGTGATGCCAAACTGTCTTGTGCAGCTGGCAAAATTTGTCTTTGGTCCAAAGACTATGCAAGTTAAAAGAGCTTTTTTCCATTAATTTGTGAAGGCTGTGAATACTAACTTGTAAGATAGCTACCCCTGTTATATGTGTTTACAGTACTGATGAAGAGCAGGCAGCAAAGCAGTCCTTATATTTCTTAAAGGGTTATTTTGATGTCATTCATCAAATAAGAATTGGAAACAAATAATAAAAGAAACAATTCCAACTTAAGTGCAATTGCAGTATCTCATTCAGACCTTTCATCTGGATAAACTATTCTGTATGAAGGAGACAACTGTCAAGAAAGTAGGGAGAAAAAAGTCTGCTTTCCAGCACCATGGTAGTTCTTACCATGTGTTTGGAAGAGCATCCAAGTTTTTCTGACCAATCTCAGCCAGTAACAGCCTTTTGGGGGCATTTAAACAGCCGAACATTGCAGAACCATGAGACATTCCAACTTTTGTTTCTTTCTGAGATCCCAGTAGTCCTGGGAGCTACAGCTGTGCAGGGAGTAAGAGAGTCAGTTCAGTTTTACACTTCATTTTTTAAAAAGGAAGCGTTCTTTATTTTAATAATGATGCTTTTCTTTATAATTTCGTTCCCGTGATAAATTCCATGTATTGCAACACAGAAAATTTCTTTCACCAGAATTTTGCAGATTTCCAATAAACAGAAACTTTGTACTTCCAGTCAGTTTCACTGCTTTCATCAGAAGCAGAGCTCTCTTCTCAAGAAGTAAGGTTCTCTGTGTGGGATCGGGAAGGTTCTTTGAATTCTTCTGTGGAGGAAGTGAGAGTGACCACAAAGGACATCATGGCTTGCATGCCAAAATGCAACTTCTTCATCCCTACCTTCCCCAAGGGCAGGTTGTAACTTAGTAGCAAAAATTAACAAAATGGGACCAACACACCTAAAATGCATGTGCAAAAGCATTGGAGACTTAGGAGAAGGAAAGACTACTTTTTAAACTTGAATGCAGTGTGATGCCAGACTGATGAGTCTTAAGATATGGGAAAATGTGAAATAGAATAAAAGCCTGAGACTGGTGTATGGAATGATGGTTTAGGAAATCTTGGTTTAGTTTCAGCTTTTCCTTAGATGCCATGTTACATAATTTCCCATTCTGCATTTGTAAACTGAGGATAATTTTTCCATTTCTTAGAGAGGGAAGACAATGTTTATTATGCATACCAAGAGGAGAAAAGAGTTAATAAGCTGTGTTTGACCTAGTATCTGGCCGGTTTTCAGGGACTGTGGAAACTCCTGCAGCTTCTTTTCCTCACAGGGGATCTCTGATGACAAATCCATTTAGCCAGATTATTTTAATGGGAGCTGTTGAGCACTAAATGCTTTTGAAACTCTGTCCAATTAATGTGCAAGAGATCCCCGTCCTTTGTAATGTTAACAGTCAAAGAAAAACTTACTTGTAGAAAAAAGTAAACTGATTAAGACACATATTAAAAATCAATTTGTCATTACTGGTGATTGATTTTATCCTTTAATTCAGGACATGCAGTCCATCTGGAGTTCCTAAATCCTTATTATTTAATTACAAACATTTTCACAGACTGCCTTTAGTTTGATCATTGTACATGTGTTATGCATTAGGTGGAAGAAGCATGACCAACTGTGTAATGGAATTGTCTATTGAAAAATGCTTTAGAGGATATCCTACTAACAGAGAGACTCTTAAGCCAGCAGTGGATTGCACAGTGGATGATGGTTGCAGAGTTATTTTCTAATGAGGATCAAAAATTGCTGAAAGGCAAAGCAAAGTTAAATATGTTTCATGCATTGTCAGGGATCAAGATTTAATGAAAGGCAAAGAAAAGATGAACATGCTTCATGCACTGAAATACTCTTATCATGGGATCAGTGTTATAACTTAAACTTCAGAAATAAACTCTGAAGCTCCTGCAGATCCAGAAGAACTTCGTATAGAGAACATAGTTACACTTTCTCTAGGAGCAATATTTTAAAACAGAGGAAAAGCTCAATTTTCCTAAGAAGTAGCACTAATTGAGTATCATGTTTCTTTTTGTTTGTCTGAATTTCCCAAAAGAATTCAATTGGTTGTTCCCTCCAATTTTTACCAAATTTGTAGATTTTCCCTATAGGATATAGGTATAGATAGAATATAGATAAAGCAAGGTTAAGAAGAAAATCTGAATCTGTAACTGCATTTAGGATATCTCATTTTAGAAATCCTAATGGCTGTTAGATTAGTTACAAAGAATTATTAAAGCATGATTAATTGGAATATTTTACTTTTCTTCTCCAATGTAATTGCCTATGAAAACCATAATCGATGAGTTTTCTTTCAGGACTTTTTATAGTTCTCTACTTCTGTTTCTGTGTTTGTGCAGATGCAATATGATTCCATTGCTAAATTACATTTTAGGATTACACTTTTTCTTGTGCTCCAAACTATGGCAGTTTACTTTGTGTGTCAAAATAACTTTGTATTATGGAACTTTAATTCCTTAAAGCTGTAGGTAATGCAATTAAATAATCCTTATCAATTTTCGGAGATTGTAAAAGGCTAATTGAAAATCTATGAAATGTAAGCTAGAATTTAATACATTGTGGAGAAGACTGTGAATGCCCCTAAGTAAAATCCAGCCTTGCCTAGAGGGCATTATTCAGTGATTTCAGTGGGAAGTTACCTACAGCTTGTGGAGTAATATTTGATCTGAAGCAGATTCCAAATCCCCTGGGCAAAAATGTTTCCATTGATTAATTCCAAAGCAGATTAAGCCTCACAAGGTACAATCGCTTGCTTTTACTACTTATGTTGGAAGTCTCTATTAATGTGAAAGTATTGAGTTATTATATTATTTTATTTTGAGTTGTGTGTTGCAATTGTGGATAGATGCTTTTATGAAATTCTGGATGTTTAAAAAACTGAAGTAAAAAAAAGCCATGGCTGCCTAGAAGCTGTTTTTAAGTAAATGAGGTATGTTGTTGCCCCTGTGTGTAGGTTTGATTGTATTTGGATACGGAGGCATTCTGTATCTCAGAAGCCTGACAGGTGGTATATGACTGAACACCTTTACCTAGCGAAATATTTGCAATCAAAAGTTTTCTATCAGTTTCTGTGACTCATAGCAAATATAGGTGATGGAGATTAAGCATTTGGACAAGTTGGGAGGTAGTAACCAGTTCAGTTCAGGACCCCTGCCATCTGTTTAGGGCAAGCAGCTATTGTCTTGGTAAAAGCAATAAACATATTCACTCTTGTGGCTGATAAAGGTACAATGTTTTTATTTTGTGCTATGACCAGCTGTTCTGCCTCATAAAACCAGGCGTTCAGCCTGACAGCAATTTCACTATTGTTCATAACTGCCTGAATTGGCATTCTGTACTTGCACGGTACTTCAAAAGTAAAGATGTCAAGTCTGTCAGCTTTACTCTTCCCCTCTTTAGTACTGCTGATAATAAAGAAGCTTGCAACAAGCTCCCCATTGTATTTCAAGAATATAATCCGTGGCTTGTCTGCTTGGAAAGCCAAGTTCCTTACCATTTATCTTCTTTCCCAGTGTTAACAGGGGGGCCATTACCTCGAGGACATGAATTTGAACTACACGATGTTCGATTTCACTGGGGGAGAGAAAACCAGCGTGGTTCTGAACACACCGTTAATTTTAAGGCCTTTCCCATGGAGGTAAGAGTGACGCTGTGTTGCATAACGCCTGCTAAATGCAAAAGATTTTATTTCATAGGCTGAATTCCTGGTAGTACAAAAGAGAGTTTCCTTTAGCTCAGCATTTTATTGCTTTATATTTCAACCGCAAAGCTATCTTGCTGAGGTATGCTTTAGGGCTGGTAAATTAAGGTGTGCATCTGGAATAGAATGCCTCCAGCGCTCATCACACTGTATGATTAATTGGTCATAAAGTTAACGTGCAGAATTATTAACTTCTGTCTTAATAATATTAGTGTTCTAACAAGATCTGCCATTTCAACACTTCCTATGTCACCTTGACTAATAGCTGTAGATGGGGAGAACTAGCCACTGGAAATACTTTTGTGGTGAATAATGACAACTTAGGTAAATTTGGAGTAAGCGCACAGCCGTTTGTTCATGAAATAGCTTTACATATCTGAAAACTGAAGATGATGTGGTACTCTTGGGTAAGATTTGTAGTATCTTCATGAATTACTAAATTCTGAAACAGAAGCAAAGTGATAATGCAGTCTGAACAAATTCAGCTGTTCGTGGAGTGTCAGCTTGGGCTCCTAGGCAACCCAAATGCTGGGACCTGTGTTTCCTGCCCTCTGGCAGCCATTTGTCATATTTTCTTCACTTTCCACTGTCCCATTGCTTAACCTTGTCAAGGAGTGGCTTGGAATACCCCATAGGCCCTGGGCTGCAAGATTAGCTTCAACAGATACCAACCCTGATGCTGGGTGACTTCAGCTTTGCATCTTTTATTTAGTTTGTTGTGCACTATATCAGTTTTAAAGAAACTGTCAAGATTTGTTCAGAGTGCTTTGAGTAATTTTTTACTTATTTATCTGTCATAACGTCTTACGAACCTGAAATTCTGTTTCTTTTTATTTTTTTCCCTGTGTTGTTCAGTGCTTGGATATTTGTTATTGTGTCATTATATTCACGAGTGCCAGACTACTGGACTAGAACTGCTTTATGGAAAAGGATATAAAAAATGTTAGAGCAACTACTGCAGAGCTAAATGTAGAAACCTTGTGGACATACACCATCAAGCTAATTCCTAGTGTTGTTCAGGTACTTTCTTTAAGAGTTGTGGGTCAGATCTTGGTGTCTGCTGCTTGCCATTTTGCACTGATCCATCAAAAAACCCCATCAAGTCATTGATGGGGGCTTGATTTGAGGAAGATAATCTTTGCAGGTTGATTTCAGATCCTGGCAATGCAGGAGAATTATTTGAATGAGAAAGACTCATCAACCAAAGGGAATGCAGAGGAATCACCTCTGCATTCTGGTTACCTGGCATAATATAGACAACATGTTTTATATGGGCAGTAGGACCTTCAGGATGCTGCAGTGTTCCCCTGGGGCAGGAAGAAGCTTGTTCATTATGAAACAGCTCTGCTTAGTGCTTTTCCTCAAGGCTGAACCAGCGTGTGGTGATCAAGAAATACTGACATGAATGGTGAACTGTACTAGGGAGTCTGTCAAGGTCTCCTGTCTCCTTGTTTGTTAAGGATCACTTCACTAACGATCTTGGTGGTTTGTGGGAACAGTCTATTGATAACCTGCAGAAACCTCAGATTTCTCTACTCCAAATCAATCCAGAGAAAAATATACTTGACCCAGAGATGAAAAACAACGAACTTCATCAGTCATGAATGGAGTTCACTCTTCACCTACTTCAAAAGCAGCATGACAGCTGCACAAACAGAATTTCTGGCACAGTTGAAGAGTATCACCTGGAGGTAGGCAAGTGGGTGTTCTCCTGTCTGTTACATCTAAGCAGCTTTCAGCTAGACTCTGATCTCCAAGAAATAATTACTGATGCAAAAATTCTGTAGCAGAAAAAAAACACCTTACAATACACTTTAAATACAGTGTGAATGTTTAATTTTGCAGACAGATCCTTATGCGGATTAATTCTGGCACAAAATGACAGCATAGCTTGTGGTATACAAGGTCAGTTGCCCACAGGTGCATTGACTGAGCCAGTTCATCATCTTCTGCCCTGTGTTCCAAGAAAGTGCAAGGCAGTTTGTTTGACAGATGAGCTGCATTTCCTTCTACCATATGCACAAAGAGCTGCTATATTAAACCCATCTCAGTTGTCCAAATCAAATATTGTATCTGGGCAACAGTGAAACAGGTGTTTGTGACCACTATAAATGTTTATGAAGGAGTACACCTGAGACTACAGAATAGAAGATTTTTCTCTTTCCATTCCAGGGATTACCTCACCTTTTTTTTTCTTTTTGTGGAGAACAATAATTTTGACCAAGTGACCAGGAAACCTTTTCTCTTATCTTTTTATATTAGCATTGGTTTATATAGTTGTTGGAAACCACCATATTCTGAACGCATATCAGATTTGATTTTCACTGGGTTTGTTAGTTACTGAACACAAACAGCAATGGGTGCCTAGTCTGGCTATATACAAGCAGTCTGGTGTAGTTTATGCTTTCATCCTATACCAAATGCAAAATAAGCTGACAGTTGTTTTTGCACAAATGCCTGTCTAGAAATATATTGAGCACCAAGTGTGTAAGTTAGGATCTTCTGCCAGTGGAATAATCTAGTAGGACGTTTTCCTAAGAAACTAGAAAAGTTTTCCAAGCAAATGATAAGGATTTTAAATTCTCCTCTCTTTGTGGGAGGAAGACGAGTCAAGGGGATAAGCAGTAGCATGAAAACGTAAGTGCTTTGTTTAAATGGGTGCATTAACAACACAACAAACTAGGTCCAGGTTATATACTTTGTTACACTATTATAAAACCCAAACATTTCTCCAGAAATCAAGTTTGAGTTTGGAGAGATCTATCAGAGATAGCTGTCTGAGACTATTTATTGACTGGAGCAGCAGTCTGTTTTTTTAGGACTGAATACTGTAAGGCTTTATTTTATTACATTGGACCAAGAAGTTGTGGAACAGCTTCAGATTATCAGTGTAACGATCTTTGTGGAGGATAACTTTAAATAAGACTGTTATTTTTCAAAGTTTGGAAGAGCACTGTTCAGTTACTTCCTTAGTCTCTTCACCTTTGATACCATAACTCATTTTATAGAAATTAGGCAATATCCTGTATTATTTGGGTAATGTCCTGTGTCTCTTAGTGGAAAAATCCATTATTTCTTGCTAGACAGCTGAGACCTTTGCATGTGGTTAGGATATATAGGTTTATGGTGGAATAAGTTAGTTTGCTAAGCTTAGGTAACCTCTGGAACAGCTTCTTGAAATAATTCACACTGTTGAGAAACGTTGTTCATGTGGCTTGGAGGCTGAGTTCATTGATATTTTTATTATTATATGAAGATCAGCAAAGATGTGTCTTCCATCTTTCTTGACTGAATAAACCATATTGCCACTGTTACCATTTTCACTGAAACATCTGTGTTTGCAATCAGTCGGGAAAGCGGGACAACACAGTAAACAGTTGTCAAAGGTAAATGCAGCAACATGTCTTTCTGAATAAAGCAAAAGCAGAGGGCTGTATGTATCAGTGCAGTACTCCTTCTCTCTGTTCCATGAAAACAAGAACATGAAGGCCATTCTTGCCTTTTGGCCAGAAATTGGAAGGAGATATTTGGACAATTTTCTCTAGCATCTTTCTCACCAAGTACTTCTGCTGCATGTAAACAATGTTATCATGCCTTTTGGCCAAAGTTAGTTTGGCCACCAATCCAATTCTGCTAAATATTAGTTATGGTCTTAACACTGAGAGTCTATTTCTTGCCAGCAAATGGAACAAGGTATCAAAGATAAGATTGTGCTTTACAGTACACATTTCCACAGAGCAGGAAAATCAACACTTATACCCACATGTGACTTACCTGAACCTTATTTAGGTGTAAGAAAGAGAGGAACTTTTTGACATCTTTATTCCTCTCCTTCATGCCAAGAGTATGGATTGGGGAAGGAGGAAGAACAAATGAAGAACTCATGAAGCTCTGACTCTCTCCCTCACCTTTGATGTATAAGAGGGAGATAGAGGGGGACAGTAATGGCAAATTACAGCTATTTGTTTTTGTTACTAATGAAGTTAAAATAGGGTCAGCTAAAAATGGAGTCCCATTGTACCCTATCTCTGTATAAACCCATCATACTGTAGTGCCAGGCAGAATCAACTTACAGTCAGAAAAAACAGGAAAGAGCAGGAGAAAGTGAACCATATGCAGGCATCAATGCTGTTTTATGGAAAAAAAAGTTTTCAGTGCTTCTGAAGTGAAGGGAAACAGGGAAATTGTGCCTTAAAGATGTCTCTTACTCTTAGTTACTCAAGTGGTGGTGTGACGAAAGGCACAATCTGACCATAAAGGAACAGTTGTTTCCAGGCCACTGCTCTGAAATAAAACTGTATCTGAGAAAATGAAAAGGTTCCTTTCACCACTTGCAATATGACCAGGAGGGTAATTCTGTGTAATCCGTCCTCTTTAAAATGCAGGATTATATTAGTTGTGAAACATGTGAAAGCTCTCAGTAGGAGAGAATTGGCAGAAAATAATTTAAAAATGTTTCCAAGATGTGCAGGAAGATTAAAAACTGTATTATTTTCTGCCCTACAGTTTTTGAGTAGAGCAGAAGAAAATCCAGTTGCCTGAAGGACCAGGACCAGTTTTATACAGTAAAAAAGATGTTCCTTTATGTTGTGTAATGAAGAGCACTAATTCATCCTGTAGACTCTGAGTTACTGAAATACCTGCTGCAATGAAGTTAAATATAATGCAAGACCCACATCCTACCCTGGATCCTTTAAAAAACTTAATGGCTTTCCTTTGGTCATGTGAAATGGTGCCTGCCTAAGGATCTCATCAAACAGAGTTACAACGTTAGGGCTTCAGGTTAGGTTGTTAACATTATCCTCATCTACTCAAGTCTTTACAGTCTTCAGTGTGGGGGTTTCTCTGTGCTTGGCTCTGAAACCAGATATGTGCACAGTCATTTCTTTCTGTCATTTATTGAGTGCAGGTGTCATGCTTTAAACACGGAAATTTATTCTTTGCCAACTTTAAATAATTCTTTGCCAACATTATTTAATCTTGCTGTCTGTTTTAATCAGTTTCTTATTAGCTTATTATCAATTTTTTTGGGTTAAGAAAATTAAACAGAATATTTGTAATTGTAATAGAAGGCCTGGGAGATAGTGTGCATTCAAGTGTGTCTCTCCCTCTTTAAGCAGAGACTTTCAAACTACAGTGGGACTGGGTGGGTGCAAATGGCAAGCACAATTTAATCTGTAATGACAGTAGTTTATAATATGGGAGCTGGCTTTGGCAGCACAGGAGCTATGAATGAAGAATATCTTGCTTAGGCAGTCATGAATTTAACAGGAGGCAAAATGAACCGATTCCAGAAGGGTTTACATAGCTTCATGCTGAGGTCTGGAAC